TTCTCACTGGTTTGAACAGTACCGGGAGCATTTTCTCCTACATATAACCTTAATTGTTTTGGTCAAATGTAACTCCGTTTCTGTTGTCTGGTGACTATTGACGGGTGCCTCGTGGCATATGGAAAGGGTTTTCCTCGCTCTTGTTAAAACGGGGCGGTCGGGTAGCCTAGTGGTTAAAGCGATCGCTCGTCACGCCGAAGACCCGGGTTCGATTCCGACATGGGTAGAATGTGTGAAGCCCATTTCTGGTGTCCCCCGCCACGATATTGCTGGAATATTGCTCAAAGCGGCGTAGAAACATACTCACTCACTCTTGTAAAACATATTACATATTGCAAAGATTCGTTCCAAACCAATACTTGAACTGGTTAAAAGCGGGAGTATAAATTCTTATTGAAAGATATACCACTCACCTTCCTACAGATAGAACACGCGTATCTGCACACAGCTGAGTCACTGGCTTGCGCTAGGACCAGGGCCAAGTTTGCATAACGTGGCTTATTTAAATATATATTATTAACTGCAATATATATTATTAGTTTCTTGTATTACATCGATGTGCCTGTGTAACCTGAGTGCATTAAGCTGCTGCTGGATTTGACAAACTGTTGCTTATTGATGTTTGGAGTTTGGGACGAAATATTCTGTATTGTGTCTCGTGTCATTTTGTTTTACTTGTCCCCACCCCCCCCCCCCCCCCCCCCCCTCCCCCCTCCCCCTAACTCCCTCTATCTGTACCTTCATCATTCTTACTAGGTCCTCTCTCTTTATTTCTCATACATCATTCCTCTCTTCATCCTTCCTAGGTCAACGCTCTTCCTCCCTCCTAAATCCTCTCTTCCTCCCTCCTAGGACCACTCTCTCCTCCCTCCTAAATCCTCTCTTCCTCCCTCCTAATTCCCATCTCTTCATCCCTCCTAGATCCTCTCTTTCATCCCACCTAGATCCCCTCTCTTCCTCCCTCTCCTAGATCCTCTCTTCCTCCCTCCTAGATCCCCTCTCTTCCTCCCTCCTAATTCCACTCTCTTCATCCCTCCTAGATCCTCTCTTCACAGTTGATACACTTTAGATCTCGACTACAGTCCTTTACGCTCATGGTTGCCACCACAACGATGCCAAAGGATGTGGCGTGTCCAGGTTTTCGAACCATATCCAAACTTTTGACACTTTTAGCGTCGGAGAGGATTGAGGACACACACCGGTCAACTGATGTTGACATTATCAGCTTTAATTGAGTTCGGAGCCAATGGACAAAAGTGAACAAAAGTGTTCGTTTGGACAATATTTGATTTTTCATCCTTTCGGGTGAAACGTTTGACTGAATGAACTCCTTGATTTTGAAGGTCTGAAACAATTTCGGCTTCTGACATATCGATAGTGAACGTGCCCTGTCACGGACAATGCCACGCAAGAGTCCTGTATGCAGAAACAGAAACCTTCACATTAGCAAACTGAGTGATTGACAATTAATTGATAGATTGCTGCTTTCTCACACATTCCACTAAAAGGGATCCACTGCGCAAACGTGTCCCATGTTTTGCACCCCACAATAGCCATGAACAGATTTGGCTAGAGCAAAGGGGTTCAATTTGATTGGTTCATGATCTGCAGCTTCGATCACAAGGAATCGGGCCCAGGAATCAACATGTCTTATCAGACGAACTTGTATCCAAATGGCTTCGTTTAGAACTAGAAAGATTTTGAGCCATGGTGAAGGAAAATGATTCAGCAACCCTGCTCCCCACCCACCATGGAGTGTCAACAAGGACAGTGTTAAATTGCATCGAAACTCCAGGATGCAAACACCAGGGACACAGGGCTGTAACACGCCACCGAATATGACACACAGATCAATATTTGTATAACAAATTAAGTGCCAGGCTGGTTCTGCCTATCATACGAAAATGGATACATATTGAATGTGGATGTCAACAACACCAGATTGGCCCATGAGACACCGCCTTCTGGCATTGGACTCCAGGCATATATAACATTCAATCACAGCATTCAAATAATGCAAAATAATTTCGAAATGAATGTTTCCCATACACAGGCCTTGGCGTGACCAGCCGATTGATAGACCCGGGCCCATTCTACCACCCGTCTTGGTGTAGTCCAAGGAAACGGTGGCCCTCAACGACCAGACTACCTTCCTCCACCGACACTGGGGCGCAACCCACGACAAACGGGTTGCCCAATTCGGTCGCCTTTTACGACCAGCAATGGGGGTTCTGGGGATACCTTCTAAACTACCCCGGGTCCCCACGGGCGCAAAGATTTCGCTCGCTCAGATACCATAGAAAGTCCACTCGTTTCGTAAAAATGGTATCTAACGAGAAAGCCTGTAGTATTCTCTATCTCTGTCTTTGTGCCCCGTGGAGGTTTCTCTGGAGACAGGACTCACTCACTGACGGATGCAGACTAACAGGGTTTCTCTGGAGACATGACTCACTCACTGACGGGATGCAGACTAACAGGGCTTCTCTGGAGACATGACTCACTCACTGACGGGATGCAGGACTAACAGGGTTTCTCTGGAGACATGACTCACTCATTGACGGGATGCAGACTAACAGGGTTTCTATGTAGACATGACTCACTCACTGACGGGATGCAGACTAACAGGGCTTTCTCTGGAGACATGACTCACTCACTGACGGGATGCAGACTAACAGGGTTTCTATGTAGACATGACTGACTCACTGACGGGATGCAGTCTAACAGGGTTTCTCTGGAGACATGACTCACTCACTGACGGGATGCAGACTACAGGGTTTCTATGTAGACATGACTCACTCACTATCGGGATGCAGTCTAACAGGGTTTCTCTGGAGACATGACTCACTCATTGACGGGATGCAGACTAACAGGGTTTCTATGTAGACATGACTCACTCACTGACGGGATGCAGACTAACAAGGTTTCTATGTAGACATGACTCACTCACTGACGGGATGCAGACTAACAGGGTTTCTATGTAGACATGACTCACTCACTGACGGGATGCAGACTAACAGGGCTTCTCTGGAGACATGACTCACTCACTGACGGGATGCAGACTAACAGGGTTTCTATGTAGACATGACTCACTCACTCGACGGGATGCAGTCTAACAGGGCTTCTCTGGAGACATGACTCACTCACTGACGGGATGCAGACTAACAGGGTTTCTATGTAGACATGACTCACTCACTGACGGGATGCAGTCTAACAGGGTTTCTCTGGAGACATGACTCACTCATTGACGGGATGCAGACTAACAGGGTTTCTATGTAGACATGACTCACTCACTGACGGGATGCAGACTAACAGGGCTTCTCTGGAGACATGACTCACTCACTCACGGGATGCAGACTAACAGGGTTTCTATGTAGACATGACTCACTCACTGACGGGATGCAGACTAACAGGGTTTCTATGTAGACATGACTCACTCACTGCCGGGATGCAGACTAACAGGGCTTCTCTGAGACATGACTCACTCATTGACGGATGCAGACTAACAGGGTTTCTATGTAGACATGACTCACTCACTGACGGGATGCAGTCTAACAGGGCTTCTCTGGAGACATGACTCACTCATTGACGGGATGCAGACTAACAGGGTTTCTATGTAGACATGACTCACTCACTGACGGGATGCAGACTAACAGGGTTTCTATGTAGACATGACTCACTCACTGACGGGATGCAGTCTAACAGGGTTTCTATGTAGACATGACTCACTCACTGACAGGGATGCAGACTAACAAGGTTTCTATGTAGACATGACTCACTCACTGACGGGATGCAGACTAACAGGGTTTCTATGTAGACATGACTCACTCACTAACGGGATGCAGACTAACAGGGTTTCTATGTAGACATGACTCACTCACTGACGGATGCAGTCTAACAGGGTTTCTATGTAGACATGACTCACTCACTGACGGGATGCAGACTAACAAGGTTTCTATGTAGACATGACTCACTCACTGACGGGATGCAGTCTAACAGGGTTTCTATGTAGACATGACTCACTCACTGACGGGATGCAGACTAACAAGGTTTCTATGTAGACATGACTCACTCACTGACGGGATGCAGACTAACAGGGTTTCTATGTAGACATGACTCACTCACTGACGGGATGCAGATTAACAGGGCTTCTCTGGAGACAGGACTCACTCACTGACGGGATGCAGACTAACAGGGTTTCTATGTAGACATCACACACTGAAAAGATCCAGGAGGGTTATAGAGGTTTTCATATTTACCTGATATTATTAACTACAATAATAAACATTCTCATTGGTTGCCTCGGTTACTCCTTGGATATTCCAATTGTTTACTCCCTTGAACATTGACCCGGTTCATCGTTCACACAGACACGTCCACGCACGACTCTTGAACGTGACGTTAAACCACAATTCACATATGTTTGTATGTATACAACAATGGTTATATATGGCGCTTCTGCTTGTTACAATAGAGTTAGGAGTGCTTGTAGATTGAGTGCTGTATTTTTTCTTTGATATATTCTGTACGATAACGCTCAATGCGATCTTCTAGATCGATACAGTAGCGTTGCAGATATGGTGGATAAGTTCATCACTTACCACACCCAGAAACACCCGAACAACACCGATGTAAATGGTGGTCCAACGCGCTGTTCAGAGTTACGTCCCATAGTTGCTTCAGGATCCGATGCTTGTGGCGTTGATTCCGATGTGGCGTTGATTCCGATGTTAACAGTCTTTTATCCGTCTAGTTGCATTATTAGGTCATTATTTGACGTATCCGCACATACATGAATGAAATGAATGTTTCAATTTGTTCAAGGAATACAAGGGATACATACAATTACTGGTACATCAAAACTGTTTGAACTATTCTATCACCGACACACTGTGATGCAAGGCAGAACGACAATCCTCTTGTTTGTCGGTGTTGTGTCCTGTTCTGTTGGGGTCCTGTTTCTCCAGAATCAGGTAAATATGAAAACCTCTATAACCCTCCTGGATCTTTTCAGTGTGTGATGTCTACATAGAAACCCTGTTAGTCTGCATCCCGTCAGTGAGTGAGTCCTGTCTCCAGAAAAGCCCTGTTAGTCTGCATCCCGTCAGTGAGTGAGTCATGTCTACATAGAAACCCTGTTAGTCTGCATCCCGTCAGTGAGTGAGTCATGTCTACATAGAAACCCTGTTAGTCTGCATCCCGTCAGTGAGTGAGTCATGTCTACAGAGAAGCCCTGTTAGTCTGCATCCCGTCAGTGAGTGAGTCATGTCTACATAGAAACCCTGTTAGTCTGCATCCCGTCAGTGAGTGAGTCATGTCTACATAGAAACCCTGTTAGTCTGCATCCCGTGAGTGAGTGAGTCATGTCTCCAGAGAAGCCCTGTTAGACTGCATCCCGTCAGTGAGTGAGTCATGTCTACATAGAAACCCCGTTAGTCTGCATCCCGTCAGTGAGTGAGTCATGTCTCCAGAGAAACCCTGTTAGTCTGCATCCCGTCAGTGAGTGAGTCATGTCTCCAGAGAAACCTTGTTAGTCTGCATCCCGTCAGTGAGTGAGTCCTGTCTCCAGAGAAACCTCCACGGGGCACAAAGACAGAGATAGAGAATACTACAGGCTTTCTCGTTAGATACCATTTTTACGAAACGAGTGGACTTTCTATGGTATCTGAGCGAGCGAAATCTTTGCGCCCGTGGGGACCCGGGGTAGTTTAGAAGGTATCCCCAGAACCCCCATTGCTGGTCGTAAAAGGCGACCGAATTGGGCAACCCGTTTGTCGTGGGTTGCGCCCCAGTGTCGGTGGAGGTAGGTAGTCTGGTCGTTGAGGGCCACCGTTTCCTTGACTACACCAAGACGGGTGGTAGAATGGGCCCGGGTCTATCAATCGGCTGGTCACGCCAAGGCCTGTGTATGGGAAACATTCATTTCGAAATTATTTTGCATTATTTGAATGCTGTGATTGAATGTTATTTATGCCTGGAGTCCAATGCCAGAAGGCGGTGTCTCATGAGCCAATCTGGTGTTGTTGACATCCACATTCAATATGTATCCATTTTCGTATGATAGGCAGAACCCGCCTGGCACTTAATTTGTTATACAAATATTGATCTGTGTGTCATATTCGGTGGCGTTTTACAGCCCTGTGTCCCTGGTGTTTGCATCCTGGAGATTCGATGCAATTTAACACTGTCCTTGTTGACACTCCATGGTGGGTGGGGAGCAGGGTTGCTGAATCATTTTCCTTCACCATGGCTCAAAATCTTTCTAGTCCTAAACGAAGCCATTTGGATACAAGTTCGTCTGATGAGACTGATACACGCCGTGGGGGGGGGGGGCAAAACATGTGACCCGTTTGCGCAGTGGATCCCTTTTAGAGGAATGTGTGAGAAAGCAGCAATCTATCAATTAATTGTCAATCACTCAGTTTGCTAATGTGAAGGTTGCTGTTTCTGCATACCGGACTCTTGCCGTGGCATTGTCCGTGACAGGGCACGTTCACTATCGGATATGTCAGAAGTCGAAATTGTTTCAGACCTTCAAAATCAAGGAGTTCATTCAGTCAAACGTTTCACCCGAAAGGATGAAAAATCAAACATTGTCCAAACGAACACTTTTGTTCACTTTTGTCCATTGGCTCCGAACTCAATTAAAGCTGGTTATGTCAACATCAGTTGACCGTGTGTGTCCTCAATCCTCTCCCACGCTATAAGTGTCAAAAGTTTGGATATGGTTCGAAAACCTGGACACGCCACATCCTTTGGCATCGTTGTGGTGGCAACCATGAGCGTAAAGACTGTAGTCGAGATCTAAAGTGTATCAACTGTGAAGGCCAACACATGGCCTCTTCCAAATCCTGCCCTGAGTATCATACGGAAACACAAATACTGAAACTTGAATGTGAAAAAAACCATAACTTTTGGAGATGCTAGGAAGCTTGTCAATCAGACAAGATCTCCTGCAACTCTACATAACTCTGCTGCTGTGGTAAAGCCTGTGAAAGCCGGTTAAAGCCTGTTCATCCGTTCAGTGTCAGACCGATTGGACATGGGTCACTTCTGTTCAACCAGTTGAAACTGCGTCTGAATCGGCTGGTCATGCCAGGCCCTGTGCATAGACTGTGTATGTACACACATGCTTTATATAACTGTATTGTTTGGTTTTGGTCATGTATAACATGTTTGAATTCTCAATTTATGTAATTTATGTAATAAACTGGCTAGAGTTTTATGCCAGAAGGCGGTGGCTCATGGGCCAATCTGTTCATGGCTCCAGTTCTTGTCATGGGCCGAGCCAGTCTGGCATTCAATTTGCTATGTACATACAGTAAACTACGGTTATAACGAACACGCTTATAACGAACTGACGGATATAACGAACTTACTTTTTGGTCCCGACTATTTGCTGTTGTTATACTTTATATATGCTTATAACGAACTACGGTTATAACGAACTAAACTTAGTAGTCCCTTTAAGTTCGTTATAACCGTACTTTACTGTATTCCTATTTCTGTCATATTTGCGGGAATATTACTCCCATGTAGCCCTGGTGTTTGCATCCTGGATGTCCAGTGCACTAAACATCGCTCTTGGTAGCACCCCATGGTTGGTGGGAAGCAGGGGTGCTGAAGTACTTTATTTCATCATGTCTCACCAATACCCTTGTAGCTGATAAACAACCTATGAAGCTTAATCCATTCGCCATTTCCAAAGCGGTTTCTGGAATTTGTGAAGAAGTAAAAAATGTGACACGTGGCTCACTTCTTGTTGAGGGGGCGGTCGGGTAGCCCAGTGGTTAAAGCGTTCGCTTGTCACGCCGAAGACCCGGGTTCGATTCCCGACATGGGTACAATGTATGAAGCCCATTTCTGGTGTCCCCCGCCGTGATATTGCTGGAATATTGCTAAAAGCGGCGTAAAACCATACTCACTCATTCACTCTTGTTGAGTGTCCACGGAGACTGTAATCTCTCAATCGTCTGTCATTAACTCCATTTGCAAATATTGAGGTTGCTGTGTCAATGCTGAAAACCTTGAATTCTTGCCAAGGCATTGTTCGAGACAGCTCATTGACTGTGCGACATGTTGGAGTAGGAAATTACAAATGACTTAAAAGCCACTCCGATGTTTCAAATGCCAAACGTTTGGGCAAGGCTCGAAATCATGTGATCCTTCTGTAGTCTGTCAGAGCTGTGATGACGGCCATGACAACAACGGATGCATACCAGAAATAAAATGTTCAGACTGCAACATCTGGCTTCATCTAGTATATGTCCAGTGTGGCAAAAACAATCAATAATCCTAAAGCTCAAACATGAACAAAATATCTCGTTTTACCAGGCTAAGAATCTTATTGACAGTCAGTCTCCATCAACTCCACTAACAAGAACCTAGAGCCTATTCTGCTGCTCGTCCAACTCCTCCAACAGTGTCCATTTCTATTCCGACAGGGCATAACTTCTGTGATAACCTCAAATATGGTCTTCAACTCAAACTATAAGCCAATCTGAGGTGAGGTGAAATGGGGTTTAACGTTGCGTCCAAGATTATTGCACTTATATAGCGACGTGCATGTACGTGTGTGTGTGTTTGTGTGGCTGCTTGTACTAGTCTTCAACTGAGGCCGATTTATAGTGCTGGCTCACTGAGATACCATGTCGCAGTTTAATATGGACAGCCCACTCTGACACAGTATACTGACTACGAGCCGGCTAGTCCTTGTTTTAGCCCCTTAATGCCGAGCGCCAGACAGGGTAACAACAAGTACCATCGTTTAACGTCTTTTGGTATGACGCGGCCGGGGATCGAACCCCGGACCTTCCGCTCTCCGAGTGGACGCTCTACCACTAGACCACGGAGGCGGTCCAAAGCCAATCTGAACCTGTGACTGATACAAATGATGCTGTAGAGCCTGTTATTAAAGAGCCAGAGGATGTAAAATGCATCTGCAACTTTGTCTCAATAACATCCAAAAGTGAACGCTTGAAAATGGTTTAAGAATTTCCAAAGTAAAAAAACAAATTGTATCCATTTTTGTAGACATTATAGACCGCATAAAGACCAGAACTATTATTAAACGGGACCCCCATCAAGATTGAAGAAGAGACCAAGTTCGTGGGCCTTGTTTTTGACCGCCACTTGACGTTTTTAATTACCTCTTAAAACTAAATGCTTGATGGCTCTGGATCTACTGAAAGCTGTTGCCAATTCTAAGTAGGTTGGGGATCAGACAACCTTACTTCACCTGTATAGAGATCCCTTATTCAATCTAAACTAGATTATGGTTCAATTATATATGACGGTGCTTGTAAAAGTAAATTAGAGAAATTAGATACTCCATCAAGGACTGCTGCTCTGTCTTTGAGCCTTTAGAGATAGTTTGTGTGTGTGTGTGTGTGTGTGTGTGTGTGTGTGTGTGTGTGTGTGTGTTCGTGTTTGTATTCGTGTTTGTGTGTGTTCGTGTTTGCGTGTGTGTTCGCGTGTGTGTGTGTGTTCGTGTGTGTATGTGTGTGTTCGTGTGTGTGTATGTGTGTTTTTTCGTGTGTGTGTGTGTGTGTTTGTGTGTTCGTGTTTGTGTATGTGTTCTCGTGTGTGTGTGTGTGTGTGTGTGTTCTCGTGTGTGTGTATGTATGTATTCGTGTGTGTGTGTGTGTGTGTGTGTTTGTGCGTGTTTGTGCGTGTGTGTGTGTGTGTGTGTGTGTGTGTGTGTGTGTGTGTGTGTGTGTGTGTGTGTGTGTGTGTGTGTGTGTGTGTGTGAGCCAGTTAAAATTATCCTTTCAGTTTATTACCAAACCCATCCAAACCAGCATATAATTGCGTCTTTAATCCTCTTAATGAGGAACTGTTTCACAACAAGCCAAAGATTGTGCCGCCACTTCGGATTTGGATCAAGCTTCATATTCTAGTATTAACATAGATATAATATATCCATGCCGGCTTCTGTCTACTTCTCCTTGGCAATTAGTCAGGCCTGAAGAAGACTATTCTCCCACCAATTTTTAATAAATCTGAAATAAATCACCTTATTTATCTACAAGAATATGATCAAATAAGTTCAACAAACAATACCTACAAATCTATATTTACCGATGGATCTAGGGATGGTGACATTATTGCCAGCGCCCCTGTCATTGGATCTAGGACAATAGCTCCCCTGTCATTGGATCCAGGACCATAGCACAACGACTACGTATTAATTGTTCCATTTTTACTATCGGTTACACATACTTGGGCTGTAAGTCCAGATTTGACGAAGTCAATTTTCGGCGATGTCGTATTGGCCACTCGAGATTTCCCCATGAATATTTATTAAAGTTGAGGATCGTCCGTTCTGTATCCCTTGCGATGAGGGAATCACCGTCAAGAATGTCCTGCTTGATTTCATTGATTTTTCCATCACAAGGGATAAATATTTCAACGTTTCATCTGTCAAGGATCTTTTTAACATAAGTTCTCATTTAATTATTGCTTTTTAAAAACTTGAATTGATTGATAAATTTTGATTGCTATATTTTGTAAATAAATAAACTTATATAATTGATAGTATGAATCAATAATTGAGATTGTTAGTGGCTGTTTCCTCGAAAGGGGTTCAAGTTGTAGTATTGCGAGGATATGTGAGACCACGTCATTCAGAGTATTTTATCCACCACTGTTTTAACCGCAGAATGTGTTTGTATATTTTAACTTATGGATAATATTGTCAACATTCGCCAATGAGTGAGTGAGTGAGTATGGTTTTTACGCCGCTTTTAGCAATATTCCAGCAATATCACGGCGGGGGACACCAGAAATGGGCTTCACACATTGTACCCATGTCGGGAATCGAACCCGGGTCTTCGGCGTGACGAGCGAACGCATCAACCACTGGGCTACCCGACCGCCCCTACAATCGCCAATGACTAAAGGGATGGTGTAAATCCTACTGGGGAATCATGCAGGTACAAAGGTACTGTACATGGTCCCTTGTCCCTCGTATGCCGTATGTATAATCTGATCATTGTTATTGTTCTAAACCTAGTTTTAAAAGTATAATCTGTGATACAAATGGAGGTTGTTGTACTGTCCTTCGATGACAGTTTTTTTCTTTCCAATATATAATAATAATGCATAACTTGTTCAAGTCTAACATTACATTTTTGCGTTTTCTAAACATACACTTTACATAAATCAGCTACTCGGATTTGCACACCAATTTTTGCGGTTGGACCTCCGTAAACGCAAAGCAAATATTGAAGCCAATTCTTAATTATCTCCCTTGTGTTTGCAACTCCAGGTGAGAGAGTCAGTTGACAGCATCGTCACCAAGATGGCTGCATCAATGCAGAAGGCGGGGGCCATTCCTCAAACAAGCAACTTACACAATCAGATACAGGTAAACAAGCTACATACGACGATTCCAAGTTTGAATGCCATTGAAGATGAGTGAGTGAGTGAGTTGGAGTTTGGCGTAGTACCGCTTTCAGGATTTCAGTTATATCATGTGAGCTTGTTGCGGGAGGAAAACCCGAAGCGATGAAGCTTTTAGAAATTTACAAGTTGACGGTAAAACCACGACGGACAAGCCTAATAAATGTTGGATTCGAACCGACTATCATAGGTGTCTGGAGCGCTTTAAGCGACTGGGCCACACATGTCCCCAGTGACATTGAATTTCTATTAAATTTTCTTTTAATTCCGGTACCTCATGTATGATGTGCACATTGAGCAATTCAAATTCAACAAATCCGCTGATCATTGATTGATACCATTCATCAATAAATTTTAAGGAAAGAGAATATATTAGTAGTAGTGTATGCACAGCTACTCATATCGATTGAATTTAATGGTAAGTGAGTAAGTGAGTGTGGTTTTACGCCGCTTTTAGCAATATTCCAGCAATATCACGGCGGGGGACACCAGAAATGGGCTTCACACATTGTACCCATGTCGGGAATCAAACCCGGGTCTTCGGCGTGACGAGCGAACGCTTTAACCATTAGGCTACCCGACCACCCCTTAATTGTAAGAGAAACATGAAACTATTTTAGTGTGGCGGTGTTCGTTAGAAGCCTTCCTGTCGTGTTGTTTTCGAAGCTTGTGGGAACGATTGTCATGAACACTTAATAAAGTGTTAAGTAATTGTCATGAAAACAAAACATATTTACATAAATTGATCGTCATGAAAACACAATTTGATTAAATAAAGTAATCGTTATGAAAATATAACAGGAAACATAGAGTAGTTGTCATGAAAACATTATAACATAGATTAATTGTTCTGAAATCATAATCAGAACACGTAAAGTAATTGTTATGCTTTGTTTGGTTGGTTTTTGTTTTACGGCGCACTCAGCAATATTAAAGGTATATGACGACATTCTATAAAAAAAATAATCTTTACCAGACAATGTAGTGGTTGATATCATGAGCATCGATCCA